CTGAGAATTCTTCCTCGTATTTTGGATCTGGAAAAGTCGTTCAATTAGCGTCGAACGGAGAAATGAAGGAATGAAGGAACGAAGGGAGGACGGGACAAAGTGAAAACACAGTAAGCTGATTGAAGGAACGTATATGGATGATGGGCGGGGCCAACCTTCCAGAATAGCCCGATCAGTCGCCAAAAAGCCATCCTTCAGAGCCTGCTCGATATCCCCTTCTGCAAAAGCGGCTTGTTGAGTAATGATGCGGTGGACATTTTCTCCTGCAAACAGGGCGACCCTATCACCGCCGTGGCCGTCGTAGACGCCAAAAAAGGATAAACGCTTATCAGGGTCGGTAGGATGGTGAGTCTTGTCTAGGTGTTTGGCTTGCAGGTCGAGGACGACGGCGTGTGCATCCTCCATACCTACTCTCCATCCCTGCATCGCAGACACTCCGTAGAGTACACGTTCATCCTGGCCTTCATCTGATTTCTGTATCCGACAAGCACGGAGGAGAAATATCGCCTCACGTTAGCAAGAACCACAACATCGCACAAGAAAACAATTGTCTTTATTGATACCAGTCAGGATTCTCAACAAAGAAAAATAAAATAGAGGAAAAATAAGGGAAGAGGAAAAGAGAAAAGAGAAAAGATAAAAAAAGAAAAGACAAGAAGAAGAAGAAGAAGAAGAAGAAGAAGAAACAGGAAAGAAACGAAAGAGAGAGAGAAAATGTGAGTGAGTGAGTGAGAGAGAGAGTCCAGCCCGCCTCCCCCGCGGTCAGCCCACTCTCCCAGGACACGCGAAACCATCCATCAGCCAGCAAGCACGGTGGGTCCATGCAGCTTATCGCAGGGCAATGGATAAGGGGGAAATCATTCCCAGGGCCTCAAGCGCGGGGGATGGGGATGCGGGTTTCAACAAGCAAGAAAAGCAAAAATAAAAGCAAAGCAGCAAAGCGAGGCACACTCACTTTCGATACCACCGGCTGTGATAAAGTCTGTCCCATGATTGCAGAAAAAGAAAAAAAAAAAAGAAGAAAAACAGGTGTGTCGGATTACGAGGGAAGAATAGTAGTCGCTAGGAGGGTATATGCGGTCGAGCAGGAGAATGGAAGCGTAGAGGGAGAATTTTCGGTTGTTCGGTGGTGGGGTGGGAGGCACGAGAGAGCGGAAGGTTTTGGCAGGACAAATGGTGGGATGAGGGTAGAGGAGGTGGTAGAGTTTACCGGAAACTTGA